GAGGGGATACCCAAGGGGGCGGAACTAGGGCCTTTATCCATAGAGCACCCGGAGAGGAGGTTTTATCCAACTTATATACCGACCGTTTTTAAAAAATAAAAATCCGACGTATTTGTATTTAACGCGAACTTATCGCTACCCCCGCTGTTTGTCCCCGACATTGGTGTGGTTCGGGTACAATGTCTTGTTCGGTTTCAGTCATCAATCATCGTCCCGTTAGCGAAGATTGATTCATGGGAAGAAAATTTTGCACGTGCAGCACGCGCTAGCTGACCGCGTGGCCTTCAGTGTAACCGCGATGTCATGAAGAGCTATTTTTGACTCTGTGACCTGACCATATGGCATAAATCACTAACGCTCCTTGACAATATTGCATATATCACTACAGCTCATTGACTGTATATCCTATATCACTATAGCTCATTAACTATAAATCCTACATCACAATAGCTCCTTGACTATATGACATATATCACAACAGCTCATTGACTAAATAGCCTATATCTCTATAGCTCCCTGACTATATGGCATATAACACTATAGCTCCCTGACTACATCGCATATATCACTACGGCTCATTGACTATATATCCTACATCACGAAAGCTCATTAACTATATGGCATATATCGCTATAGCTCCTTGACTATATGGCATTTATCACCATAACTTATTGACTATATATCCTATATCACTATAACTCATTGACGATATATCCTATTTCTCTCTAGCTCATTGACTATGTGGCATATATCACTAAAGCTCCTTGACTATATGGCATATATTACTAAAGCTCACTTACTATATATCCTATATCACTCTAGCTCATTGACTATATGACATATGTCACTATATATATCCCTGACTATATAACAAAGTCACTTTTGCTCCTCACTATATGACAATATCACTATAGTCCCTTGACTATATAGCCTATATCACTATACACTCTTGAAAAAAAGAAACGCACAGGTAAATTTTTAGTAAATTCATATTAACTAATAAAGTGGATATATTTAATTTAATATCATAGATACAAATATGAAATTTGGAGCTCGATAGTCACATGTTGTTGTACAAAGGCATTGAAAACTGTTTATTGTCATGTCACATAAGGCCACAAGGTTGCGCTGAACTCAGTATCTCGTGTGACCGCCCCGGGCAGCAATCACAGCTCTGCATCTCTGACTGAATAAGTGTACGAATTCTGTCCTGCGGAATTCTGCGCCATTCTGCTTGTAACGCTGTGGCCAGCTGTGGGAGTGTCTGCGGCGTGTTCTGACGTTGACGTACACGTCGATCGAGTTCATCCAAGAGGTGTTCGATTGGGTTGAGATATAGAGATATCGACGGCCAGGGCAGGTCGTTGATGTTGGCATTATGAAGGAGTCTACCGTGACACACCGCCACCGAAATTGTCGAATTCAGTATACAATGTAGAGCAAAATGCTCATTTCGACGACGATAAACACGTTTTCTTCAATCTCGCCGGTAAAGAAGAAATCGTGATTCATTGCTAAACCAGGCTCGTCTCAAGTTTCTCAAATTACAAGGCTGTAAGGTATGGCACCAGCGCAAGCGTCGCTCTCGATGGATATGTTGCAAAACAGGGACGATAATTAGTCTTCTGGGTCGGTTTCCGGCCTCGCGAAGATGGTTTCTGACAGTCTGGTCCGATATCCTCTTCAAACCAGGGATGCGACCTGCTGTCTCCGTAGCTGTGGCATTGCGATGACGTAGGTGGAACAGTCCAATGCAGCGATCCTGTGAAGGGGTGGTAACTCTTGGTCGGCCGGTACTCGGACGGTCTGCATTGAAATGAACTGTGTGTATCGGTCACAAAGGCGACGAATGGTGCTGTGGTGGACGTTGAAGTGGCGTGCAACAGAAGACTGCGATTCCCTCTTTGGATACATCCTATGTCGATGTTCCGATCGTCAGCGCTGAGTCTCCGCATTTTCGAACATGAAAAGTATTGACAATTGAACGACAAATTATTGGCTTATGCTTGTCTTTTCATAGCCACTACCACGAGTTACGAATGCCATAACTTGCACGTGCATTTAAGACATTGCAAATCGACAATGGCTGCGTTTTGACGCACCGTCTGTCGAATATCAGGCCACTTACATTTTCTGTTAACATATCCAATTTACAAACCGGATTGTTTGTGAAGTCAGGTTCAATAAACTACATACTACATGTGCGTTTCCTTTTTTGAAGAGTGTATATAGCATGATGCCAATGTGGCGTATATGTCAATTTAGCTCCCAGACTATATTACATATGTCACTTTAGCTCCCTGACGATATGACATCTATCAATTTAGCTCCCTGACGATATGACATATGTCATCTTGGTTCTCTGACTATATGATATATATCAATTTAGCTCCCTAACTATTTGACATATGTCACTTTAGCTCCATCGCTATATGACAAATATCAATTTAGATCCCCGACTATTTGACATATGTCACTTTAGCTCCATCACTATATGACAAATATCAATTTAGCTCCCTGACTATTTGACATATGTCACTTTAGCTCCCTGACTATTTGACTAATACTACATGTGCGTTTCCTTTTTTGAAGAGTGTATATAGCATGATGCCGATGTTGCGTATATGTCAATTTAGCTCCCAGACTATATATCATATGTCACTTTAGCTCCCTGACTATATGACATATGTCACTTTAGCTCCCTGACGATATGACATCTATCAATTTAGCTCCCTGACTATGTGACATGTCATCTTGTTTCTCTGACTATATGACATATATCAATTTAGCTCCCTAACTATTTGACATATGTCATTTTAGCTCGATGACTATATGACATATATCAATTTAGCTCCCTAACTATATGATAGATGTCACTTTAGCTTCCTAACTATATGGCATTACTTCAACATGACGACTAACAGAGGGATCAAAGTGACAATGATTATAACAAAAACTATTTGCTGTTATATTGTGGGCAAATGTTACACCCACACACGAGTGTTTGTGAGGTATCAACACGAACACTGATATCGATTTTGTATGTTTTGGACAAATTGTATCGATTATGACAGCCTGTGTTTTACAGAACTTGGATAAGTTTGACTCGGAGGTATTCTCGGCGACATGACTATAAGAGTATTTAAACATATAAACCGATTACAAATTAATTAAAACAAATCCAAACTGTCTAAATGTGACACCAGTCGTGACACACGTGTTGGACGAGGACACAATCATCAGTTTCACTGCACAGTAAACATCTCAGTACTGTTATGAGGTGACAATCAAAATGCAAATCAGTAGATTGGACAAATATGTCTGGGGGACAGCGCCCTGTGCCAGCAGTGTCTCCACAACACACACAGCTGGCAGCTCTCACGTTGTACTTCACTCAGCTTAATGATGACCTGATCTCCAGAACAGCGATGGTTGGAAGTGAGTGCTTAATGATGACCTGATCTACAGAACAGCGATGGGTGAGAAGTGAGTGCTTAATGATGACCTGATCTCCAGAACAGCGATGGTTGGAAGTGAGTGCTTAATGATGACCTGATCTACAGAACAGCGATGGGTGAGAAGTGAGTGCTTAATGATGACCTGATCTACAGAACAGCGATGGTGGGAAGTGAGTGCTTAATGATGACCTGATCTCCAGAACAGCGATGGTGGGAAGTAAGTGCTTAATGATGACCTGATCTACAGAATAGCGATGGTGGGAAGTGAGTGCTTAATGATGACCTGATCTACAGAACAGCGATGGTGGGAAGTCAGTGCTTAATGATGACCTGATCTACAGAATAGCGATGGTGGGAAGTGAGTGCTTAATGATGACCTGATCTACAGAACAGCGATGGTGGGAAGTGAGTGCTTAATGATGACCTGATCTACAGAACAGCGATGGGTGGGAAGTGAGTGCTTAATGATGACCTGATCTACAGAACAGCGATGGTGGGAAGTGAGTGCTTAATGATGACCTGATCTACAGAACAGCGATGGTGGGAAGTGAGTGCTTAATGATGACCTGATCTCCAGAACAGCGATGGTGGGAAGTAAGTGCTTAATGATGACCTGATCTACAGAATAGCGATGGTGGGAAGTGAGTGCTTAATGATGACCTGATCTACAGAACAGCGATGGTGGGAAGTGAGTGCTTAATGATGACCTGATCTCCAGAACAGCGATGGGTGGGAAGTGAGTGCTTAATGATGACCTGATCTACAGAACAGCGATGTTGGGAAGTGAGTGCTTAATGATCACCTGATCTCCAGAACAGCGATGGTGGGAAGTCAGTGCTTAATGATGACCTGATCTACAGAATAGCGATGGTGGGAAGTGAGTGCTTAATGATGACCTGATCTACAGAACAGCGATGGGTGGGAAGTGAGTGCTTAATGATGACCTGATCTCCAGAACAGCGATGGGTGGGAAGTGAGTGCTTAATGATGACCTGATCTACAGAACAGCGACGGTGGGAAGTGAGTGAGTATGGTTATACGCCGCGTTTAGCAATATCACGGCTGGGGACACCGGAAAATGGGCTTCACACATTGTTCCCATGTGGGGAATCAAACCCGGGTCATAGGCTTGACGAGCCGATGGGCGGGGACATGCTATTAAAGTTAAAGTGCCGTTGCCAGGTGTGTTTGGTGTAGTTTTATGTCGCTTCCAGCAGAGATTCAGAGCAGGGAGGGGAGAGATCACCGCGAATTAGCTTCACATGTTGTACTCTTGCCAGGAATCGAACCAGGAATTTTGACGTAACAAGCGAACACTATCATCATTACATAGGTCCCTTTCTCCACAAAATTGTAATTATTGTCTTGTGTGGCAATGCTGTATATTCTCGAATGAGACGAGATAGTATTTACAAGGGAGTGTCACCTCGAAGTGTACAAAGCCACTCACTGACAAGACTAAAATCGTCAACGGCCACCACACCAAGTTATTCATCAACCGAGGCAATTTTGTCAACAAACAAACTTCTCTGTAATTCTCACCTGTTTTAACTGGACTTTACACACGCCGGACTTGCGCATTGAAAGATTCTGGAGTTGCACGTCCGCCCGGATTACCTCCCCTGGGACGTACGCCCGTTTTATGACGGAGAGAGAGCAGGATACACGGCCCGGGCGGCAACACACGGTACTGAATGATCGCTCCGCGTGGTCCTCGAGGGGATGTCGGGGCTGAGATACAAATATAAATATGTGAACGGTAGTTGAAATCGAAACCACGATCATATATATTCGGCGTGCCTAAGGGACGCATCTCTGCACAGCGAATTGCGGCGCCTTGAACGATGGGGCCAGCCACAACCCCGGTATATGTAGGTATATTTCATGTTGGTGACCTGCATGGTTTGAAAGAGAATGAAAGTGTTGGCTATAATATGATATGTTTATCAGAAGGCAGTATACATTTTTGTACTTCTCAGGTCATATATTACAGACTTAATATTACTTATGGGTCAAGGTCACAGCTTCGTAGCGCTACAAAGAAATGTTACCTCGGATTACCATTCTAAAGTCAGAGTAACGTTAATGTCGTTACTGTTTAGTTTATGGTGATAAAATTTTATTCTAGTCCCATCCAGCGTTGTCTAATACTCACTGAGGGGGTTCGTTTTTCAGAATCACGCTTGGAGTCGAGATCTCTGAGGACGGTAAACGTTTTTTGTGTGGTAAGGTTCTCGCCGCTCTGCCGGACAGCGATTCCCTGGACTGTATAGTTGACCGACGCATCAGGGCCTTGGAAAGAACAGGGTATTCCTTCAGGAAGTTTATACTGGAACGGAAACAGGTGGCGCCCTCTCTTGAGTACTTCCCGATTCTCCCAGTGACCCTCATCTGGAACTAAAATGCGTGACAATATTGCTCAACACGAGACGGGGCATGGTATCTACTGTTGGTCTACATGGGTGAGTAACTGGGTTTGACGCCGCTTTGAGCAGGGGTAAGTCATCTCACGACTTGTCAGCTTCATGTGAGATGACAACCCAGGCCAGTTATGGCGCTGATAGAAAAAGAGCAAGGGCGGATCCTGCATTTTTAAAAGGTAGGGGGTCCAATATCAAAATCCTCTCTCAGTTCTGGTGGTGGCGGGGTGTGGGGGGTAGATGTCTACAGCATACTTCATTTGGTTTTCAAATGAAGGGTGATGAATTGGGATTCGAACCCACGATGTCTGGTTGTGTCTCTGCCTAACGTTATGTCGCCCCCTGGACCACTCGACCACCCTGCTTCATGCATGCGAGATGGTGTTGGTGGTCTGGATGGAGAGATATTATACCCGTGAATCTGTGGTTCCCGTGACAGTACACTCCACATAATGTCGGAAGGCCTCCTTTCACTCGATGACTGTGCAGCACACGTTTTATACGTGTATCGCTATCAACATGTCACATCTACACCAGGCCAGGTTCATTTCTTCAGCAGATCCTGATACTGAGTAGAAACCTGGAGTTTATAGGTTCAGAGCTTGCGGACAGATGGCTGAAGGCATGGACGACTGAAGAAGACAAAGTATATAAACTTACTTTGCCGATGTCAAGGTCAACTTTGATAAAATGAAGCAAGTAACTAGTCCCGGATAGTCTCATCGAAGAAATATAAAAAAAACTAAACTAAATAAAAAGATTAAATGTCCAACGTATATAAAATGTCACCAAAACACATACTGACCTAACATATAATGTAACCCGAAGATAAACTGACCCTATACATAAACTGCACTGTTGACCTTCAAAAGTTGCATATAGGTATGGGACCGCCTCCGTGGTCTATTGGATAAAACGTCTGCTCGGAAAACGGAAGGTCGGTGGTTCGATCCCCGGCCGCGTCATTTGAAACGACGTCAAAAGATGGTACTTGTTGTTACTCTGCCTGCACTCTGCATTAAAGGGATAAAACAAGGACCGGTCGGCTCGGAATCAGTATACTGTGTCTGAGTGGGGTAACTGCGGCATGGAATCGATATGGGCTGGCACTTTAAAAGCGGGATTAGTTCGGATTAGTACAAGCACACGCACGCACACACACAGACACACACACACACGCACGCACGCACGCACGCACACACACACACACACGCACACACACGCACACCTCATCTCACCAAACGTTCAGGAATAGCTCGCAACATCCACGTTTGGTTGTTGTTCCTGACGTCGTGCTCTGCGTTCTCCCGTCGTCTGTGTCGTGATCTCAGTGCGGGATTACCGCCCTTCTGCTCAATTAACGATTATTAGCGTCGGAGGCAACTGATGGAAGAACTAGTAATTTGATTTGTGTGAATCAATAAGTCCTGATTTGGCTTTCTTTCTTTCTCGCAGAGTCGGAAGGGTGAGGAAGGAGGGCGAGGGAGGGGGAAGAGAAAGGGAGGGGGGAGGGGAAGAGGATGGGAGGGGGGGATGGGAGGAAGGGGGAGAGGAGGGGAGGAAGGGGGGAGGGGAGGGGGAGGAAGGAGGGGGGAGAGGACGGGGGGAGGAATGGAGGGGAGAGGACGGGAGGGGAGAGGAAGGGGGAGGAAGGGAGGGGGAGAGGAAGGGGGGAGGAAGGGAGGGGGAGAGGAAGGGGGAGGAAGAGGAAGGGAGGGGGGAGCGGACGGGAGGGGGAGGGGGAGCGGACGGGAGGGGGAGGGGGAGCGGACGGGAGGGGGAGCGGACGGGAGGGGGAGGGGGAGCGGACGGGATGGGAAGCGAGGGAGGGGGGAGGAATGGAGGGGAGAGGGCGGGTGGGGGGAGGAAGGGAGGGGGGAAAGAAGGGCGAGGGAGGGGGAGGAATGGAGGAGAAGCGATGGAGGGGAGAAGGGAGGCGGGAAGGGAGGAGGAGAGAAAGGAGGGACGGGGACGAAATCGATGAGAAATTACAGTTAAAAAAACTGCGCCTCTGTTGTACATCCTCCCTACTAAGTAACGCCTCTGTTGTACATCCTCCCTACTAAGTAACGCCTCTGTTGTACATCCTCCCTACTAAGTAACGCCTCTGTTGTACATCCTCCCTACTAAGTAACGCCTCTGTTGTACATCCTCCCTACTAAGTAACGCCTCTGTTGTACATCCTCCCTACTAAGTAACGCCTCTGTTGTACATCCTCCCTACTAAGTAACGCCTCTGTTGTACATCCTCCCTACTAAGTAACGCCTCTGTTGTACATCCTCCCTACTAAGTAACGCCTCTGTTGTACATCCTCCCTACTAAGTAACGGCTCTGTTGTACATCCTCCCCACTAAGTAACGCCTCTGTTGTACATCCTCCCCACTAAGTAACGCCTCTGTTGTACATCCTCCCCACTAAGTAACGCCTCTGTTGTACATCCTCCCTACTAAGTAACGCCTCTGTTGTACATCCTCCCTACTAAGTAACGCCTCTGTTGTACATCCTCCCTACTAAGTAACGCCTCTGTTGTACATCCTCCCTACTAAGTAACGCCTCTGTTGTACATCCTCCCTACTAAGTAACGCCTCTGTTGTACATCCTCCCTACTAAGTAACGCCTCTGTTGTACATCCTCCCTACTAAGTAACGCCTCTGTTGTACATCCTCCCTACTAAGTAACGCCTCTGTTGTACATCCTCCCTACTAAGTAACGCCTCTGTTGTACATCCTCCCTACTAAGTAACGCCTCTGTTGTACATCCTCCCTACTAAGTAACGCCTCTGTTGTACATCCTCCCTACTAAGTAACGCCTCTGTTGTACATCCTCCCTACTAAGTAACGCCTCTGTTGTACATCCTCCCTACTAAGTAACGCCTCTGTTGTACATCCTCCCTACTAAGTAACGGCTCTGTTGTACATCCTCCCTACTAAGTAACGCCTCTGTTGTACATCCTCCCTACTAAGTAACGGCTCTGTTGTACATCCTCCCTACTAAGTAACGGCTCTGTTGTACATCCTCCCTACTAAGTAACGCCTCTGTTGTACATCCTCCCTACTAAGTAACGCCTCTGTTGTACATCCTCCCTACTAAGTAACGCCTCTGTTGTACATCCTCCCTACTAAGTAACGCCTCTGTTGTACATCCTCCCTACTAAGTAACGCCTCTGTTGTACATCCTCCCTACTAAGTAACGCCTCTGTTGTACATCCTCCCTACTAAGTAACGCCTCTGTTGTACATCCTCCCTACTAAGTAACGCCTCTGTTGTACATCCTCCCTACTAAGTAACGGCTCTGTTGTACATCCTCCCTACTAAGTAACGCCTCTGTTGTACATCCTCCCTACTAAGTAACGGCTCTGTTGTACATCCTCCCTACTAAGTAACGCCTCTGTTGTACATCCTCCCTACTAAGTAACGCCTCTGTTGTACATCCTCCCTACTAAGTAACGCCTCTGTTGTACATCCTCCCTACTAAGTAACGCCTCTGTTGTACATCCTCCCTACTAAGTAACGCCTCTGTTGTACATCCTCCCTACTAAGTAACGCCTCTGTTGTACATCCTCCCTACTAAGTAACGCCTCTGTTGTACATCCTCCCTACTAAGTAACGCCTCTGTTGTACATCCTCCCTACTAAGTAACGCCTCTGTTGTACATCCTCCCTACTAAGTAACGCCTCTGTTGTACATCCTCCCTACTAAGTAACGCCTCTGTTGTACATCCTCCCTACTAAGTAACGGCTCTGTTGTACATCCTCCCTACTAAGTAACGCCTCTGTTGTACATCCTCCCTACTAAGTAACGCCTCTGTTGTACATCCTCCCTACTAAGTAACGCCTCTGTTGTACATCCTCCCTACTAAGTAACGCCTCTGTTGTACATCCTCCCTACTAAGTAACGCCTCTGTTGTACATCCTCCCTACTAAGTAACGCCTCTGTTGTACATCCTCCCTACTAAGTAACGCCTCTGTTGTACATCCTCCCTACTAAGTAACGCCTCTGTTGTACATCCTCCCTACTAAGTAACGCCTCTGTTGTACATCCTCCCTACTAAGTAACGCCTCTGTTGTACATCCTCCCTACTAAGTAACGCCTCTGTTGTACATCCTCCCTACTAAGTAACGGCTCTGTTGTACATCCTCCCTACTAAGTAACGCCTCTGTTGTACATCCTCCCTACTAAGTAACGCCTCTGTTGTACATCCTCCCTACTAAGTAACGCCTCTGTTGTACATCCTCCCTACTAAGTAACGCCTCTGTTGTACATCCTCCCTACTAAGTAACGCCTCTGTTGTACATCCTCCCTACTAAGTAACGCCTCTGTTGTACATCCTCCCTACTAAGTAACGCCTCTGTTGTACATCCTCCCTACTAAGTAACGCCTCTGTTGTACATCCTCCCTACTAAGTAACGCCTCTGTTGTACATCCTCCCTACTAAGTAACGCCTCTGTTGTACATCCTCCCTACTAAGTAACGCCTCTGTTGTACATCCTCCCTACTAAGTAACGCCTCTGTTGTACATCCTCCCTACTAAGTAACGGCTCTGTTGTACATCCTCCCTACTAAGTAACGCCTCTGTTGTACATCCTCCCTACTAAGTAACGGCTCTGTTGTACATCCTCCCTACTAAGTAACGGCTCTGTTGTACATCCTCCCTACTAAGTAACGCCTCTGTTGTACATCCTCCCTACTAAGTAACGCCTCTGTTGTACATCCTCCCTACTAAGTAACGCCTCTGTTGTACATCCTCCCTACTAAGTAACGCCTCTGTTGTACATCCTCCCTACTAAGTAACGCCTCTGTTGTACATCCTCCCTACTAAGTAACGCCTCTGTTGTACATCCTCCCTACTAAGTAACGCCTCTGTTGTACATCCTCCCTACTAAGTAACGCCTCTGTTGTACATCCTCCCTACTAAGTAACGCCTCTGTTGTACATCCTCCCTACTAAGTAACGCCTCTGTTGTACATCCTCCCTACTA